GATTTCTGCGTTAATCAGAGCTTTCAGTGGGCCCCTTTTACACATTTCAGAGCCTTCTGAAGATCCAAACTCAATCAAAACCAAATATCAGATCTTTATCCACAGAATTATGGACTTGAGGTCCAGAATTACTCGAAGCGTCTAATTTTCTATGATTTACTAGAATTTGTATCCAGAAAGGGTTACAGCCTAGCTTTTCTTGATTTTGCTGGGTTTGAACTTTGAACATCTGGAATGCTTAATGTATCAACTTACAACTGAATTACATATAAAAAATGGAGAAAAGACATGAGCTGAGGCACCTCCAATGTCACACGCTACCCTTTCATCAACCCTTTTTAAAGTGGATTATTGACTGTTTTTACTATGAAGACATCATACCAGAGCTTTCTAGCACATACTAGCTTGTTTCTCAGAGGCTTCTTGACCAGATTCATGCAACAAATAATTATTATTATCACTGTGGTATTTTTAATTAAGAATAAAACAGCAACGTTACTGGCGGAAATCATGGTTTTGAGGGTCAGTACGTACTGTGTACCACATTTAGGAAAGTCTCCCCTGTGCACACAAGGGTGCTAACTTGGCTTTCTACCAACAATATTCCAAAAAGTATTTATAAAAGCTTCAATTAGATAAGATCAAGTTTGTGAAGAAGGTACGTGGTTAGCAGAGGTCAGTGATTGGTACACCCTGTAGATATAATACTTTGACGTAAGCACCGTCCAACCTCGGTTACAATTATATGCGAACGTGATTTCATGATTCCTTCTAATATTCTGATAACAGAATTCGTTCCAATGCTTCTTTTTTTTGGATTTTACTGGTTTACTGGTTCATTTGGTAAAACAAACCTGTAAAACTTCATTTTTGCACAAATTTCCAGAACCACTTGTATGAAAAGGCTGAACGCAAATTGTTGTACTTGTAGGTTTACAACCTACCAGGACGCGCGCCGAGTTGGACTCGTCGACGGTCTTGTATAATATATGGAACAAATATTTTACGAGTATCACCCGTTAAGCGAATTGAAAAGACATAATATTCGTATGACGACGATTTCAATTTATTTCATGATTTACCGGATATCGGGGGCAGCTACTCGCAGTTACTTGAGTCATTATCATTAAATTCAAACTGATAATCACGTTCGCCGATGAAATAATTTTATTACATCAAAAAAATTGTCTAATTGTTCGTTTCAAAGCGTTATCTCTAAGTTTTACGGGATTTACTGGTTTTACTGGTTTATCCGGTCACCGGTGTAGCAATCCTGCAGTCAAACTTCATTTCTTTGGCAAATTTCCAGCACCAGATTTATAAAAAGGCTAAACGCGAACATATCAAGGACATATTAATATTCGTATGATGATGATTTCAACTGCGGAACATTTTTAGTTTTTCAGAAACGTAATTTATTTCATAATTTACTGCAACTTGAATATTTTCCCTGTTAAATTTGATATCACATCGGTACCTTATCGAAGGGGGAGGAAACGGGGATGACGTACTCTTTTGTCTCCCTCTAATCTCCTTTCATTCGGTGGTAAATTCCGTAAAGAGTATATTATATAGTACTAGAAAACCCGTGGTCACAGGGAGAAAGCTAATACTTACTAAACACAGCGTAATATCAACAAAACCGATCAAAATGACGTTAAAACAATCATTGCACGTGCACGTGCGTGTAATAACACTTGCAACCATGGTTACTACGCAAGTTCATATTTTTCGTTTGATTTGCACGTGGGCGGTCGTACAGTGTACGTACAAACATTGTACAAAAAGAATTCTCTGAATTATAATATAGACTAGAAAGCCCGTGGTAACAGGGACGAAGCTAGTAGTATTCTTTCTTTCTTTGAAAGAAAGTTTTAATCGCATCAAAAAATATCCATCCCAATACAGCCGATTTAACTATTTAAATAGTTAAATATAAAACACTTTAAACACAACGTAATTACCACAAACCCGATCAAAATGACGTCAAAACAATCTTTGCACGTGTATGTGTACATTAAAACACCGTTGCTATGGAACGTTTTGGTTATTACCTAAATTCCTATTCTTCATCTAATTTGCACGTGGGCGGTCGTACAGTGTACATACAAAAAGAATTCTCTGCATTATAAGTAAGATACTCTTCACTAAAGCTTTTGAGTACAAATATTGAGGGATCATCTACATAGATGATAGATTGACGTGGTTAAAAATCTTGTTGATTAGTCTTCTTTTTGTTGTTTCTAATCAGTATAAACTACAATTTTTGTTGCCCAATTCATTTATGGCAAAGCCTCAAAACAGCTAAAAAGGATCAAAAGATCGCGAAATGGAGTTTTCATCTTTTTGGAAAAAATTTAGCTGGAAAGCCTTTCTGGTATTTGGAGCAATCTATCTGCAGGGTGTGATAATCTACAGTTGCTCAGTTGTTCAATCAACCTTCTACGTTACTCATCTTGTAAACAGAGGTTTGAATAAGATGCTTTTTCTAATTTAATTTCAGTTTTTAGGTCGTTGAAATTTATACTTCTATTTCTAATTCCTTTATCGAATTCATGCAGGTTAACACCAATTTATGACGTGGTATAAAAATCGTGATTACTTAATAATTAGCTATAAATATCCATTTCAGGAATCCCGAACTTCCAAGTTGGCCTCATCGGAATGGTCCCCGGCATTAGCTACCTTTGCAACACATTTTATGATGTCACCGGTTACTTTCTCAATAACAAGAAAACGTCCTTGAGAGTAGCCCAGTGCATCTTTTTGGCAATTGTCATAGCCAATTGTTTTTGTAAGCATTATTATACGTTCTAAACTTCAAATAAAATTATACCTATCAACACATGTTATTCAATTTCATTTTTGAGGAATATTATTTACGACATACCTTGTAAATTTGACTTGTCTGTTATTGGTATAAAGTAATAACTGTTACTAATCATAAATCTGATTTCAGTAATGGGGATCGTCGAGATGCTCCCACCAGACTACAACAAACTCTTGGCTGCTCTGTTAATATTGATGCGCGCCACCCACGGCTACGTGTCTTTTCTAGCCAACAAGATTTCGATTGAGTGCTGTAGAGCTTGGTTTCCTGATCATTATAATCTGACAGTAGGACTTGCTTGTAGTTCATATTACTTGGGGGGTTCTTTTGCGATACTCATAGGAGGACATGCCTATGAAGCTTTTGGTTACCAGGCGCCTTACCTGTTCATTGGTACGGCTGCTTTCATATTCTGGGTATACAATTTGATTTTTATGCCAAGAACTTCTGAACCTGTGTTTGTTAATATAAGTAATGCTGGTGGCATCATTGGAGCTCCTTGGTCCGATGAAATTGTGTTAACTGAAACTAGCAACCAGGATGGGGAAAATGGAAAAAAGGTATCTGCACTCCCTGGCCTCTCCTGGGCGGTTGCCATCCCTCTTGCTGCAATGAGTTTCACGGTAGTGCTTGAAGGTTTCTCGGCGGCCATAACCACTCCTTACCTAAACGATATCTACGATATACCAATAAGTCGTGGAAGCAGCTATGTTTTTGTAGAATTCCTTGGATTAATGATAGGGGCTGCTAGTTGCGGCTCGATCTTGCAACTAGGATGGTTTTCTGCTAGCAAAATCATGGCAGCAGGGGGCTGTTTCTGTGTTGTTGGTTTGATGCTTGTCTTCCCGGGGGAGAGCATTAAGTTTCTGTACGAAGGAGTTCCACAGGCAGCCTATTTTGGGTTATTCCTCCAAGGGTATGGAAACCAAATAATTTGGGTAGCCACCCTTCAAGCAATCGAGGAGACCCATACAGTATTAGGTGGAAGGCTATGTGCAAGCAACAACAAGTCAACCGCCATAACTCTGTGGCTCTCTCTGTGGATGGTGGCTTGCTATGCAGGACACTTGGTTGCCTTGATAGTGATGAAAGTCATGACCTATAGTCAAGGAGGCTGGATGTTGGCAGGATTTAGTGTAGTGTCTCTTGTATTGTGCATTTCTCAGGATATCGCCATCTGGAGATCTAAAGATGCATCAAGGCGAGCCGAATTTGAACCAAGTTTGGTAAAGGTCAACAAACTTTCTGATGTGTAGTCGGGAGCTGATTTGACAAAATTCAAAGTAATTAAGGACTCGTTTAACCTCTGACACGCCATGATTGCAGTTCACAAGTAACTTCGTGCCCGAGTGTGTTGAACTCAGCTATTGTTATTTCTCGAGTTAAGTGTTGAAACCGAATAACAGTACATTTATTAACAGTTAATTAAGTGGCAATTGCCAATTTTTAAGGTAAAAGTATTTTACCATAGTTATAGCAGATGAATTTTGCGAAAGGATTACTGCAATCTTTTAATATTTTTAAACATTAAATGTACTATTTAATTAAATGTACTATTTAATTAAATGTACTATTTAATTGATTATATTGACTTTTATCATTCGGTAAAAGTTTAATTGAGGGGATCATCACCATATTTCGTTTTCATATTTGCGACGATGATCCAAGGATGGCGAAATTGTTGTAAATTACGCTTTGAGATATCCCAAAACGTGGATAATGAAAATGACAATGACTTACTGATTTACTTTAATCTGCAAGGGTTTTAAATCAATAACATTTATTGGTATTTTAATCAGTCAAATTGATTGTTTCTAAACTCTCTTTTTAAATGATTTGATATTTTGTAATTAATTGGATTGACAAATGAGCTTTACAAACTGAGTTTACTTTGTCAAAATATTATTGAAATCTATCCTAATATTCCGATTACCTCCTCTGTATTGGCTTGTTCGTTGAATTCGTTGGTTGCTGATATTAAATTAAAGATTTTAAAACTCTAGTCAATACCATTATAGTTCCCACGACTCAATTGTTACTGGTTTGAAATTGACGGAAATTAAGGTCACTTATAATTATATAACTGACACAAGTCAATAGAGATACTGGACGTTGACTAATAATAAAGTATGTATAATTATTACAATTAGTATATATATAATTATAATCAGTTTATTTACATCGAAATCAAAAATTAACATCATTATAAAACTAATGGCGTTATTGTTTAATTTGAAGCCGTATAATCACGTGAAACAAAAAATAGGACCACGTAATAAGTGTTTATAATTCAAGAACGGGTAGAGCACGTCATATCACATATTTGATAATTTCTGTGATCAATCTTTCAGACCTCGACAGACAAATTAGGTTTTTTTAGACAAATTAAGTTTTTGAAAATCAAAAATATCCGATATCAATCTTATTTTCATGCTTAAGGCTTGTGCTTGGTCCCAAAGTGGAGATCTGCATCTGGTGCTCAGTTTGGATAACCAACTCAATAACTCATTTGCTTGAAAATCTCACATAAGTCGTTAGGTTAAATCTGAGCAGAGCTATCAATAAACGTAACGTGGTCACCTTTTTGGGACACCAGCTGTACTATATAGGTGAAACGTTATCATTACCTTATTTGGGCATCACGTGAAAACCTCAATTTCAGGATATTGGATATATGGTAAAACAGATGAATCATAATTTATCAATATAACACTTTGCACTTCAGTTACAATGCTGTGCATATACTTTTATATTTGCTTGCCCTTTATCAAGCACACGTTGCTTGTTCACATAATTTGTAGCTTTATTATGCACTCGCATAAACTTTTTAAATGATCGTGCACTTATACTTTTACATTTATAAACTATACAAATGTTTGGACCAACAATCGATTTATCTCCAGCTAATCACGTGGCTCGAACACAGTTCTCTGATTGGTTGGTTGATGCCACGTGACTAAAATACAGCTCCCCGATTGGCTGATTAAAGAAATGATATATCGCAGCATGTAAGGAGTTCAATACAGTCATTCCCTAATAATCAACCCTTAACTAAAATCAAAATCCAACATAAACTCTTCTCAAGCTCGCGCACTGGTAATCCTCTGAACTGTCTTCTTGGACCTCTGAACGGGAACAGCTGAACTGAGTGGTCTCTGTAACATAGCCGGGGGTGCCGCTCTGCTGCTTAGATGGGATCTAATGTTACGGGTTCTGTTGCTTGCGGAGGAAGAGGAGGGGGCTCTGTTCGGGGTGGTTAGAAGCCGGGGTCCTGCAGTTTGGGGTCGCCATACTCGTTCTCGTGCATACTCTCGTAGTAACTGTGGGGAGGGGGTGTTAGTGGTGGGGTGGGAGTGTTAGTGGTAACTGTGGGGAGGGGGTGTTAGTGGTGGGGTGGGAGTGTTAGTGGTAACTGTGGAGAGGGGGTGTTAGTGGTGGGGTGGGAGTGTTAGTGGTAACTGTGGGGAGGGGGTGTTAGTGGTGGGGTGGGAGTGTTAGTGGTAACTGTGGGGAGGGGGTGTTAGTGGTGGGGTGGGAGTGTTAGTGGTATCTGTGGGGAGGGGGTGTTAGTGGTGGGGTGGGAGTGTTAGTGGTAACTGTGGGGAGGGGGTGTTAGTGGTGGGGTGGGAGTGTTAGTGGTAACTGTGGGGAGGGGGTGTTAGTGGTGGGGTGGGAGTGTTAGTGGTAACTGTGGGGAGGGGGTGTTAGTGGTGGGGTTGGAGTGTTAGTGGTAACTATGGGGAGGGGGTGTTAGTGGTGGGGTGGGAGTGTTAGTGGTATCTGTGGGGAGGGGGTGTTAGTGGTGGGGTGGGAGTGTTAGTGGTAACTGTGGGGAGGGGGTGTTAGTGGTGGGGTTGGAGTGTTAGTGGTAACTGTGGGGAGGGGGTGTTAGTGGTGGGGTGGGAGTGTTAGTGGTAACTGTGGAGAGGGGGTGTTAGTAGTGGGGTGGGAGTGTTAGTGGTAACTGTGGGGAGGGGGTGTTAGTGGTGGGGTGGGAGTGTTAGTGGTAACTGTGGGGAGGGGGTGTTAGTGGTGGGGTGGGAGTGTTAGTGGTATCTGTGGGGAGGGGGTGTTAGTGTTGGGGTGGGAGTGTTAGTGGTATCTGTGGGGAGGGGGTGTTAGTGGTGGGGTGGGAGTGTTAGTGGTAACTGTGGGGAGGGGGTGTTAGTGGTGGGGTGGGAGTGTTAGTGGTAACTGTGGGGAGGGGGTGTTAGTGGTGGGGTGGGAGTGTTAGTGGTAACTGTGGAGAGGGGGTGTTAGTGGTGGCATTGGAGTGTTAGTAGTAACTGTGGGGAAGGGTGTTAGTGATGGGGTGGGGGTGTTAGTGGTAACTGTGGGGAGGGGGTGTTAGTGGTGGGGTGGGAGTGTTAGTGGTAACTGTGGGGAGGGGGTGTTAGTGGTGGGGTGGGAGTGTTAGTGGTAACTGTGGGGAGGGGGTGTTAGTGGTAACTGTGGGGAGGGGGTGTTAGTGGTGGGGTGGGAGTGTTAGTGGTAACTGTGGGGAGGGGGTGTTAGTGGTGGGGTGGGAGTGTTAGTGGTAACTGTGGGGAGGGGGTGTTAGTGGTGGGGTGGGAGTGTTAGTGGTAACTGTGGGGAGGGGGTGTTAGTGGTGGGGTGGGAGTGTTAGTGGTAACTGTGGGGAGGGGGTGTTAGTGGTGGGGTTGGAGTGTTAGTGGTAACTGTGGGGAGGGGGTGTTAGTGGTGGGGTGGGAGTGTTAGTGGTAACTGTGGAGAGGGGGTGTTAGTAGTGGGGTGGGAGTGTTAGTGGTAACTGTGGGGAGGGGGTGTTAGTGGTGGGGTGGGAGTGTTAGTGGTAACTGTGGGGAGGGGGTGTTAGTGGTGGGGTGGGAGTGTTAGTGGTATCTGTGGGGAGGGGGTGTTAGTGTTGGGGTGGGAGTGTTAGTGGTATCTGTGGGGAGGGGGTGTTAGTGGTGGGGTGGGAGTGTTAGTGGTAACTGTGGGGAGGGGGTGTTAGTGGTGGGGTGGGAGTGTTAGTGGTAACTGTGGGGAGGGGGTGTTAGTGGTGGGGTGGGAGTGTTAGTGGTAACTGTGGAGAGGGGGTGTTAGTGGTGGCATTGGAGTGTTAGTAGTAACTGTGGGGAAGGGTGTTAGTGATGGGGTGGGGGTGTTAGTGGTAACTGTGGGGAGGGGGTGTTAGTGGTGGGGTGGGAGTGTTAGTGGTAACTGTGGGGAGGGGGTGTTAGTGGTGGGGTGGGAGTGTTAGTGGTAACTGTGGGGAGGGGGTGTTAGTGGTGGGGTGGGAGTGTTAGTGGTAACTGTGGGGAGGGGGTGTTAGTGGTGGGGTGGGAGTGTTAGTGGTAACTGTGGGGAGGGGGTGTTAGTGGTGGGGTGGGAGTGTTAGTGGTATCTGTGGGGAGGGGGTGTTAGTGGTGGGGTGGGAGTGTTAGTGGTAACTGTGGGGAGGGGGTGTTAGTGGTGGGGTGGGAGTGTTAGTGGTAACTGTGGGGAGGGGGTGTTAGTAGTGGGGTGGGAGTGTTAGTGGTATCTGTGGGGAGGGGGTGTTAGTGGTGGGGTGGGAGTGTTAGTGGTAACTGTGGGGAGGGGGTGTTAGTGGTGGGGTGGGAGTGTTAGTAGTAACTGTGGGGAGGGGGTGTTAGTGGTGGGGAGGGGGTGTTAGTGGTATCTGTGGGGAGGGGGTGTTAGTGGTGGGGTGGGAGTGTTAGTGGTAACTGTGGGGAGGGGGTGTTAGTGGTGGGGTGGGAGTGTTAGTGGTAACTGTGGGTAGGGGGTGTTAGTGGTGGGGTGGGAGTGTTAGTGGTAACTGTGGAGAGGGGGTGTTAGTGGTGGGGTGGGAGTGTTAGTGGTATCTGTGGGGAGGGGGTGTTAGTGGTGGGGTAGGAGTGTTAGTGGTAACTGTGGGGAGGGGGTGTTAGTGGTGGGGTGGGAGTGTTAGTGGTAACTGTGGGGAGGGGGTGTTAGTGGTGGGGTGGGAGTGTTAGTGGTAACTGTGGGGAGGGGGTGTTAGTGGTGGGGTGGGAGTGTTAGTGGTAACTGTGGGGAGGGGGTGTTAGTGGTAGGGTGGGAGTGTTAGTGGTAACTGTGGGGAGGGGGTGTTAGTGGTGGGGTGGGAGTGTTAGTGGTAACTGTGGGGAGGGGGTGTTAGTGGTGGGGTGGGAGTGTTAGTGGTAACTGTGGGGAGGGGGTGTTAGTGGTGGGGTGGGAGTGTTAGTGGTAACTGTGGGGAGGGGGTGTTAGTGGTGGGGTGGGAGTGTTAGTGGTAACTGTGGGGAGGGGGTGTTAGTGGTGGGGTGGGAGTGTTAGTGGTAACTGTGGGAGGGGGTGTTAGTGGTGGGGTGGGAGTGTTAGTGGTAACTGTGGGGAGGGGGTGTTAGTGGTGGGGTGGGAGTGTTAGTGGTATCTGTGGGGAGGGGGTGTTAGTGGTGGGGTTGGAGTGTTAGTGGTAACTGTGGAGAGGGGGTGTTAGTGGTGGGGTGGGAGTGTTAGTGGTAACTGTGGAGAGGGGGTGTTAGTGGTGGGGTGGGAGTGTTAGTGGTAACTATGGGGAGGGGGTGTTAGTGGTGGGGTGGGAGTGTTAGTGGTAACTGTGGGGAGGGGGTGTTAGTGGTGGGGTGGGAGTGTTAGTGGTAACTGTGGGGAGGGGGTGTTAGTGGTGGGGTGGGAGTGTTAGTGGTATCTGTGGGGAGGGGGTGTTAGTGGTGGGGTGGGAGTGTTAGTGGTAACTGTGGGGAGGGGGTGTTAGTGGTGGGGTGGGAGTGTTAGTGGTAACTGTGGGGAGGGGGTGTTAGTGGTGAGGTGGGAGTGTTAGTGATGACTCTGGGGAGGGGGTGTTAGTGGTGGGGTGGGAGTGTTAGTGGTAACTGTTGGGAGGGGGTGTTAGTGGTGGGGTGGGAGTGTTAGTGGTAACTGTTGGGAGGGGGTGTTAGTGGTGGGGTGGGAGTGTTAGTGGTAACTATGGGGAGGGGGTGTTAGTGGTGGGGTGGGAGTGTTAGTGGTAACTGTTGGGAGGGGGTGTTAGTGGTGGGGTGGGAGTGTTAGTGGTAACTGTGGGGAGGGGGTGTTAGTGGTGGGGTGGGAGTGTTAGTGGTAACTGTGGGGAGGGGGTGTTAGTGGTTGGGTGGGAGTGTTAGTGGTATCTGTGGGGAGGGGGTGTTAGTGGTGGGGTGGGAGTGTTAGTGGTAACTGTGGGGAGGGGGTGTTAGTGGTGGGGTGGGAGTGTTAGTGGTAACTGTGGAGAGGGGGTGTTAGTGGTGGGGTTGGAGTGTTAGTGGTAACTGTGGAGAGGGGGTGTTAGTGGTGGGGTGGGAAAGTTAGTGGTAACTGTGGGGAGGGGGTGTTAGTGGTGGGGTGGGAGTGTTAGTGGTAACTATGGGGAGGGGGTGTTAGTGGTGGGGTGGGAGTGTTAGTGGTAACTATGGGGAGGGGGTGTTAGTGGTGGGGTGGGAGTGTTAGTGGTAACTGTTGGGAGGGGGTGTTAGTGGTGGGGTGGGAGTGTTAGTGGTAACTGTGGGGAGGGGGTGTTAGTGGTGGGGTGGGAGTGTTAGTGGTAACTGTGGGGAGGGGGTGTTAGTGGTTGGGTGGGAGTGTTAGTGGTAACTGTGGGGAGGGGGTGTTAGTGGTTGGGTGGGAGTGTTAGTGGTAACTGTGGGGAGGGGGTGTTAGTGGTGGGGTGGGAGTGTTAGTGGTAACTGTGGAGAGGGGGTGTTAGTGGTGGGGTTGGAGTGTTAGTGGTAACTGTGGAGAGGGGGTGTTAGTGGTGGCATTGGAGTGTTAGTAGTAACTGTGGGGAGGGGGTGTTAGTGGTGGGGTGGGAAAGTTAGTGGTAACTGTGGGGAGGGGGTGTTAGTGGTGGGGTGGGAGTGTTAGTGGTAACTATGGGGAGGGGGTGTTAGTGGTGGGGTGGGAGTGTTAGTGGTAACTGTGGGGAGGGGGTGTTAGTGGTGGGGTGGGAGTGTTACTGGTAACTATGGGGAGGGGGTGTTAGTGGTGGGGTGGGAGTATTAGTGGTAACTGTGGGGAGGGGGTGTTAGTGGTGGGGTGGAAGTGTTAGTGGTAACTGTGGGGAGGGGGTGTTAGTGGTGGGGTGGGAGTGTTAGTGGTAACTGTGGGGAGGGGTGTTAGTGGTGGGGTGGGAGTGTTAGTGGTAACTGTGGGGAGGGGGTGTTAGTGGTGGGGTGTGAGTGTTAGTGGCAACTGTGGAGAGGGGGTGTTAGTGGTGGCATTGGAGTGTTAGTGGTAACTGTGGGGAGGGGGTGTTAGTGGTGGGGTGGGAGTGTTAGTGGTAACTGTGGGGAGGGGGTGTTAGTGGTGGGGTGGGAAAGTTAGTGGTAACTGTGGAGAGGGGGTGTTAGTGGTGGGGTTGGAGTGTTAGTGGTAACTGTGGAGAGGGGGTGTTAGTGGTGGGGTGGGAGTGTTAGTGGTAACTATGGGGAGGGGGTGTTAGTGGTGGGGTGGGAGTGTTAGTGGTAACTGTGGGGAGGGGGTGTTAGTGGTGAGGTGGGAGTGTTAGTGGTAACTGTGGGGAGGGGGTGTTAGTGGTGAGGTGGGAGTGTTAGTGGTAACTGTGGGGAGGGGGTGTTAGTGGTGGGGTGGGAGTGTTAGTGATAACTGTGGGGAGGGGGTGTTAGTGGTGGGGTGGGAGTGTTAGTGGTAACTGTGGGGAGGGGGTGTTAGTGGTGGGGTGGGAGTGTTAGTGGTAACTGTTGGGAGGGGGTGTTAGTGGTGGGGTGGGAGTGTTAGTGGTAACTATGGGGAGGGGGTGTTAGTGGTGGGGTGGGAGTGTTAGTGGTAACTGTGGGGAGGGGGTGTTAGTGGTGAGGTGGGAGTGTTAGTGGTAACTGTGGGGAGGGGGTGTTAGTAGTGGGGTGGGAGTGTTAGTGGTAACTGTGGGGAGGGGGTGTTAGTGGTGGGGTGGGAGTGTTAGTGGTAACTGTGGGGAGGGGGTGTTAGTGGTGGGGTGGGAGTGTTAGTGGTAACTGTGGGGAGGGGGTGTTAGTGGTGGGGTGGGAGTGTTAGTGGTAACTGTGGGGAGGGGGTGTTAGTGGTGGGGTGGGAGTGTTAGTGGTAACTATGGGGAGGGGGTGTTAGTGGTAACTGTGGGGAGAGTATAGCTACAAGCTAAGGCAGTAGTCTCCTGATCCTGTACATTGCTTTTATTAACCTATACTGTGGGCATGTTGTGGTGGTGAAATTAGGTGAAGTGGACTTGAAGTTCAGTCTATAGATTGGTACATTTGTACGGTAAACCCTTATCTCCTTATGTACGTTGTTTCACGTGATCTATAAACCCACAAAGCGATAACAAAATGTTAGTATGTTAACATTTTATCTCAACACTTATTTACTTCGGACATTCCAACAGCCACATTGTTACACAAGTGTGTAACCAGCCAATTACAGGAAGCCGAAGGATTCAATTGTACATTAGGCCAGTGACGGTTAAGGTAGTGTGTACCATACTTTCTTCGCCCGAGACTTTGCTGCAATGGGCAGCTCCTCATATTTTAACCCTCACACCCGATTTCTCGAGTATTTGGCTGAGTGGACCGAGGGGCTGCAGACCACTCATGGGCTGATAGACCACTCAGGATCCTTAGCTGAGCGTCGACGACGGACGACGCTCACCCCACGGCTAGTGACAGAGTCGGGAATCGAACCTGGTACCTCAAGCAATACCAGGCAGATTGACCAACTGAGCCACTAAGCCGTGTCAAAATGTCTCACTTATATTGATATCAGTAAACCTCGAAGGTAATAAAAGCAGTTATAAGATTTCAGTTATCAGTTAACTTATAAAGTTATAAAAGCTCTGCAGTTACAAGGAAAGAAGGTACGTAAGGTATGTAAGGTATGTAAGGTATGTAAGGTATGTACTATGTTACCTCGTGTTCCGAAACTGGTAAGCTACCCACTATTCTGTATAAAGCAGGTCTATAGAGTGGATCGCCTCCCAACGTGTACTCATCACTGCAAAAACAAGTTGTTAGGAATTTTGAAAATCCGTTTTTTTGTTTGTAAACCTTGTACTATAGATGTGGAATCTGGTGGGGGAAGGGGGTATATTGTTATCACACGTGACAGCTATTAACCAACCAGCTTCCTCAATAAGTCTATTAACCGGAACCCATCAAACCCTAGAATCACTGTCACGAGTTAAAAAGTATGCTTCAACAGTCAACTCCCCACCAGAATTCAAATATATTCTTTGGCATACAATTCGTTTTTTTCAAGGCAAAATGTTTAAAGAAGAATAATAATTATCATTAAGCGAAATTTCTTCGAACATTTGCATTACACTGAAAGCGGGTAGGAAGAAAAAATATCATGTGCAATATAAAGAAAGATAAGGAGCACGATATGAGAAGAAAAAAAAAAGAAGTGTACTATAGGTCTACATCTGATAAAGAATAGTTTCTCTATGAGTAGGAAATATTAAGTACAATATAAAGAAAGATAAGGAGCACGTGATAAAAAGAAAATACCTCTGATAAAGTAGTTTCTCTCTCTGCGTCGGAGCACACCTCAGTTTCACATCACCTGGCGGTATGTATCCCTCCGCAAACATTAGCTCTACCTGAACAACACTCGCTGGTTAGTCATAACTACATTATGCTGCAGGTCACGTGACCAAAAAGGACTGGGTTTGTTTTAAAATTTAAAATATGATTACATAATTTGAAAGATTGGTTGTATTTGGGCAAAAATCAGATCATTTCTAAATCATATTATCTAGATCATATTTAGATCTTGGAACCAACCTTCCTATTGATGACAGATTTCCACTTTCTCTTGATAGCTTTAGTCTCAATGTCGAAAACTTTGCACTGGTACTCTCTTGCAGTGTCGATAGCCTTGCACGTGTTCACCAGCTTGCAAGATAGTGCCTTGTTAGTGCTCACTGCCCAACGTTCCTAAAATACAGCTCTCTGATTGGTCGGTTTGAGCCACGTGACTACAATGCAGCTCTCTGATTGGTCGGTTTGAGCCACGTGACTACAATGCAGCTCTCTGATTGGTCGGTTTGAGCCACGTGACTACAATGCAGCTCTCTGATTGGTCGGTTTGAGCCACGTGACTACAATGCAGCTCTCTGATTGGTCGGTTTGAGCCACGTGACTAAAATACAGCTCTATGATTGGTCGGTTTGAGCCACGTGACTACAATGCAGCTCTCTGACTGGTCGGTTTGAGCCACGTGACTACAATACAGCTCTCTGATTGGTCGGTTTGAGCCACGTGACTACAATGCAGCTCTCTGATTGGTCGGTTTGAGCCACGTGACTACAATACAGCTCTCTGACTGGTCGGTTTGAGCCACGTGACTACAATGCAGCTCTATGATTGGTCGGTTTGAGCCACGTGACTACAATACAGCTCTCTGACTGGTCGGTTTGAGCCACGTGACTACAACGCAGCTCTCTGACTGGTCGGTTTGAGCCACGTGACTACAATACAGCTCTCTGACTGGTCGGTTTGAGCCACGTGACTACAATAAAGCTCTCTGATTGGTCGGTTTGAGCCACGTGACTTAAACGCAGCTCTCTGATTGGTCGGTTTGAGCCACGTGACTACAATAAAGCTCTCTGACTGGTCGGTTTGAGCCACGTGACTACAATAAAGCTCTCTGATTGGTCTATTTGAGCCAAGTGACTAAAATGCAGCTCTATGATTGGTCGGTTTGAGCCACGTGACTTCAACGCAGCTCTCTGATTGGTCGGTTTGAGCCACGTGACTACAATAAAGCTCTCTGACTGGTCGGTTTGAGCCACGTGACTACAAAAAGCTCTCTGATTGGTCGGTTTGAGCCACGTGACTTCAACGCAGCTCTCTGATTGGTCGGTTTGAGCCACGTGACTACAATAAAGCTTTCTGACTGGTCGGTTTGAGCCACGTGACTACAATAAAGCTCTCTGATTGGTCTATTTGAGCCAAGTGACTAAAATGCAGCTCTATGATTGGTCGGTTTGAGCCACGTGACTTCAACGCAGCTCTCTGATTGGTCGGTTTGAGCCACGTGACTACAATAAAGCTCTCTGACTGGTCGGTTTGAGCCACGTGACTACAATAAAGCTCTCTGATTGGTCTATTTGAGCCAAGTGACTAAAATGCAGCTCTATGATTGGTCGGTTCGAGTCAAAGGTTTAAAATAAAGCTTTTTAATTGGTCGATAAAGACTAACTGTCTAAATTCTTAAATTACTCAAATTTAATCATGATCGATTCAAATTTATGAAAAATCAGAAAATATTGTTGAGACTTGATTGCAGTCGTTAAGCAACGATTTATCTACTTGAATAACAGCGCCTTTCTTATTTCAATTCAAGACACCTTCATATGTTCACATAGAAGCTTTGCTGCCCGGTGGTCCTCATTAAGACCCAAAAAAGATATGAAGCACATATCGTGCATGTTAATATATATATCATTATGTTAATATATTATTATAAAAGTATAAATATGTGAAAATGATTGAACACTTTGACAATGACTATTGTTCTGAAAAACTCCACCTTATAGAGTCTTATACAACTTCATAGTTTTATAAAAGTCTAAACTTGAGCCTAAGCTTGACTTCGCAGTTTTATAATAATCAAAACTTGAGTCACAAACTTCATTATAGTCGTTTAATTTCAAAAGTTTAGAGTGAAAGTCTCGGAATAAATGAACCAACAAACATGACTGATCTAGGACAACTCGATTTATAATGACTAAAGAAGAGGCACAAACTTACCTTCAAGTTATATATACAAAATTAAAAAAAAGTTCAAAAATACATTGTATTGGCACTCACATACCAGGGGCTATATTCATTTACTAATCTTATACTATCACAGTTTACGCAGTGATAATTTTAACAGCCCAGTAAACGCACATCGTAACCTAATTTTGATTCAACTAATTTCAGTAAAATATAATAAAGTTAAACTTTATTTCATTACAAACCTTTCTAATAGCTTAGTAGTCGTACATCGTAACTTAATTTTTATTTAACTTACTTTAATAGAATGAAATAAAGTTAAGTTTTAGAAACCAGTGCTCACTATACCTGTTTGGCAACATCATCCTTCCGGGAATCCTTCTTGACCCTTGTAGACGAATCAATTGCCATTCCTTGGTATTTCTTATATTTTCCACGTTACTACCAAATTATCTCTTCTATTTTATCGCTGAGTTCTCCTTTTTTATCGCCGTCTTCGTTTTAACTTATTCGTCCAACATAAACTGCTACATGATTTCTGGTGAGCTGGATTCCTATCAGAAACTAATGCAGTCAATAATCTAATTTATTTGTGATTTAAGGGGATTAAATAAATGAAGTAATCACTAATATTATCGTGTTCATCGTATGCAATTTGAGAAAAATTATACGAATTGAATAATTCATTATATTTATTATGTTCACATATAGAATTAAGTGAACTTGATCGCAAAAAAAAGAAAGAAAGCATAAAAAAGCTTTGATTATTATTGTTATAATGCAATGAAAAAAATCAAGTCGAACAAATTAATTTATGTCTTAGTCTGAATTTTTAATATCGGAAAAAGCGAAAATTGAATAAATGTCAAACACGCATAGCATAACAAAACGACCGGTTGTTTATGGCAACCATAATTATCTGTGGCAAACAACAAAGACAGTTGGGAAAGTGTGAAAATATCCGAATTGGTAAATTATAGAATTATAATGGCACCAAACAAAGGATTAGAGTCAGTTCCAACATGAAACATGAGAACGGGAGCAATCGGGCCACCTTTTAAGCCTGGATAGGCTATCAGTTTACAACTTAAGTTCAAACTAGACAACTCAAAGTGCTGCAATGCCCCATAGCAAAGCTCTGGTTGTCATGGTGATCGGAGAAGAACAATTTGTTATAAGTATCATAATATGTGTGGGCAGGTAAGTACAGCAGCATGCAATGTATTTACTATGGGAAATTTTGATTTCTGGACACCCGCCACGTAATATCATGGCAAGTTTGCATGGAAGATAATCTTTGAGAGCAAGTCAGGTCAATTTGACCTAAACGTCCTCCAACATTGAACATGTGTGCTTAGCTTCTTAATTAACTTGATTAGACTTAGATTTCGAATTTTGAACAAATGGAATAAAATTGACTGATCTTTTGATCAGCACCGCTGAAAAGGTACAGATATGATTGAATTTTCAAAAGCTTGTCAAGCAATCGCAAACTTCAAAAGGTAACTGTCAAACTGATATCTTCCTTTGATGTGTGGGAGTAACATAGGTAAAAATAGATCATTCCTTGGGATTCAGCTGTAAAAATAATCATGACAAGCACATGTTAATTAAAACAAGAATTCGATTAAAAAAAGCTTGCATATCTAAATAATCTTTGTGATCCAAAAGCGCGTCTATAACTCTATGATACGCGTTTCATGTTAATAAAACGATACGCTTCATGTTAATATAATAGCATAGAAAATGCTCATTAGACATGGCTAAAGACACGAATCTAAGTTTTAAAATAGTAAGTATCGCCACGTCAAGGTGGCATCGAAGTGTGCTTACTATCGGTGCGGCATATATCATGTGTGAAAAACTTCATATATCATGTGTGAAAACTTCTTGCATGGTAGTTTTATGCGGATTCATTGCACGATTTCAGGAATCTTCGCATTAGATTTGAATGGGTCTTTCAATGGGGAATATTAACATTAAGATCATAAAATATTGTTAACATTTGGAATTAAAAGCAAACGTTGATCTTTGAGGATGGTAAGATTTGATAAATAAAATAGATTGATAAAATCCTTCTTATTGCATAAATTTATTTTAACTTATCAATCATATTGGGCGGAAAATGTTTTGTGTGTACTGAATACACTTTGTTATTTCGAGTATCAAGCAAAGATTAATTAGTCAATAAAAGTGTTGTATATAATATATATATACATATCACCGGAGACTCGCGGGCGGAACAAAATATTGCACGCGCACGCGCGTGCAATATTTCATATGTCCCCGAGGGCGCTAGCCCGAGGAGGACATATTTTCGTATAGCACGGAGGGCCCATCGGGCCCGAGTGCTATACGATTTTTCCGCCCGCGGGTCGAGGTGATGTGGATTATATCCACCAGCGTAAGCTTTTTCTTACAGATATTAGTTTTACTTTAGTTTCTTCAAGAGATCCATTTTTAATTTAGTTTCACTTTTACTTTCAACATGTTTCTAATAGTAATACGATAGTTCCGCCCTCGAGGCGAGGAATGATATCGTGTATATCCATCAGCGGGCGTTTATCACGAAGCTTCAGTTTGCGACAATCACAGCAAATTAATGTACAAGATTTCAGAAAAGTTACGAAAAAATCATGTTTCTTTTGGTTTAAGATGTAAAACAGGCCAAAATGACTGACTATAGAACGAAAAAGCGGCTGCTATCAAACAATGTTTCAGCTCATTGTTTCAGGTACATATTTTAATGTAAACGATCAAAATATAGGCCTCTCTTCCTCTCTCCTTCTCTCCCTCTCTCCCTCTGTCCCTCTATCCCTCTCTCACTCTCTCCCTATCTTCCTTTCACCTTCTCCCACTCTCCTTACGTCCCTCTCTCCCTCTATCCCTCTCTCTTTATCTCCCTCTCTCCTCCTCTCCCTCTCTTTCTCTCCTACTCTTCCTCTATACTTCTCTACCTCTCTCCCCTCTCCCTCCCTGGAACAAGCACCACCAGTCGCCACAGAGCCCTCTACTACCAAGTTAGTTGTCATTATCATGTCAGTTACCTGGGTAACCAGGGTTACCCGGGTAACCAGTTACTACAGTTTCTGTAGCAGCTACTGAGTGGCTGGACACTTAAAAGTAGTAACCCAGAGAGCTCGAGATCACAGTCTGATCATGGACATTTAATATGAAAGTTAAAGATCAAATTCATAACATCAATTTAAATGGCAGTTTCAAAACAAAAACAGGGCAAAATATCTTTCGGGAACACAATAGAATAACACGTAAAATTTCGGCCTACATTTCAAGATTTATCGACTGAACTAGTGAAATGAAAATGGTAAACACAACTGAAATGGTAAACACAAAACAATTATCGATACTATAATAGAGATCACCGGCTTAGAATTTAGTCTGGACGTCTCCACGAATTTGGTAATCATAGTAACAGTGTGTCAGTGTCACGTGTTAATTATGAGCCAATCATGGCAAACTGCGTGACAACTGATATAGCGTCCGATAGAGGGTGAGCGATCAGAGTTTACAGTTGACACATTCTTTACATCCACTGCATATTGCCGTGGGAATTTAGAAACAGAAACTACAATAATTAGCTCACTGTACGATTATTGCAATTGAATTCATCGTTAATGAATTAAACCGGTTTCAACTATAGTTCTAAGTAACTTGTAAGTTGTTGTCTTATGGAATTTCACATGGAGACGATACAGAAACTGGAAATATTTTAGAGAACTCCGGGCTATATTGCTACTGGTCAAATTAAATGTCACTTGTTAGCGGGCTATATCATGAGCGGGCTGTAGAGATATCGGGCCCTTTGACAGCGGGCTGGTGAGAGCCCGCTATGCGAAAAAGCGCACGCTGGTGGATATAATAACATAAACCCGCCACGCAAAGGGTTTATATAACAGATCATCCCGCGCTAGCGGGATGATCTGATAAACACATACGAGTGCGCGCAGCGCACGAGTTTTGTGTTAATATGTAATCCCGAAGCGCCAGCTGAGGGATTACATTTATTTAGCCCTGAGCGTGAAGTGTTTATGGATTATAATTATCTCCGGCGATTTCGACAAGGGATTTATACTTTAGAAGAGAGTGATAAAATAGTTTTTACTGTACTGTCCGGAACACGATTGGAAAGCAGTTCATCAATCTGAATGTCAAACCGATCTGTCATAGTGGAGCAATAGCTTGAACGTTAGCAGGAAAAAGAGCTGGAAGGAGAGCAAGCAAAACAATACTATTTTTAGGGCACGGACAAGGGTAGCTGGCTAGTCGCCAACTTCTCACGCCACGCGTTGGAGAAATTCCAAGAATTAGCTGCTTTGGCAACGTTCCCAGGAATTTGCGTGTAAAAGAAGTGGACGGTTACGATGTTTCATATCACGTGGTGCGCTTTCGTGTCACGTGGTATAGACTCGGCGTATGCTATTGGTGGCACGTGGTACGCACGTGACGCGCCCACGTGATCGCGCGTCTTACTGTTCTACTATTATCGAGTTCTAATCAGCAGTATCATTGATTATTGTAAGTCGGAGAATTGAATGATAAACATCAGTTACGACTAAAAAGCGGGCCGGGTTTATACAAATTTCCGGGGCGGGATGATATCACCTTGAGATGTTTATCTAACAGCGGGCCGGGCTGAGTGATAATATGATCCCGCGTCGAAATCCCGGAGATATTTATATATAAATAAAACGGCGGTTCTACAAACTTAATGTTTCGTACAAACGCGATCATCGCAGTGTTATAATAACACTGATGATTGCGTTTGCATGAAACTTTAAGTTAGTAGACCCGCCGTTTTATTTGTATAAGGACTACTTTTACATGCACAAAGACCAAGGCAAAGAAATTTCCTAATTTAGTTCGCGAACAATCATTAAATCATGTCCAAATGCAAGTGCATCCATGTGTGTAACAACAACACCCCATTTTAAAACTAAACTGACTGCAGGATTACTGTCTGTATAATTAGCCCCAGTCCAATCAGACGAGAGGTATAGTAACGCACACTACAACACGGCTACAAAACGTAAATCAGAGCTATAAATCCTGTGAGTATGACAGATGCACGCAACAGAAACTCTCAGTCCATTCTCCCCACGTGCGTTACACGTGCACACCACGTCCAGACCACGTGCACACCACGTGCACACCATGTGCGTTACTCGTGAGTGGTTGTATTAGAATATTATGAAGCTTAAACTAAGGCCAACGTGCAGATCACGTGGCAGCCACGTGGGACATTTCACAGCATGCAAGCATTGATTTGATTGACATATGGCGAGAACTGATATGACAATGCTTGTTATGGTGGCGGGTGGTCTGACGAGACCTTAGCCTTGTAATTAACTTTACCGGAAAAATATTTCCTTGTGTTCCAAGTGTTACATAACTCTTAAATGATCACATTGGTAGACAGTTTTACATCATACACAACATTGTGGTAAACTCGTGGCTACCAACTAATGCTACAGATCCTACTCAAAGGTTGCGAAACTAACCGCCAAATTTAGTTTCAGTTACAAGTTGAGA